CACCCTCACTGAAGAGCTGGCAGCCCTCTACTCACAGGCCTGCCTTCCTTGTCAAAACCACCATGAACACTTGCCAGCCGTTCAGTTTTAAGTATGTTGACACAGCCTTTGATAGTATTTTGTTTTCTCTCCTGGCATTTCTTTCTTGTACAGACTTAAGTGTTAAATTAAATAAGGCAAACTGTTTCTACTCACTAACAAGATTCAAGAGCAATGTCTTTAAGTTATCAAAATTTCGCTGTCACTAAACATGCCCCAAAGGAGCCTGTTTGAGTCACTTCCACAGCTGACTCACATTTAAAGATATTTATTGGCTGGCAGTGGTATGAGGACAAGACAGGCATGGGCTCTGGGGTGGTGTGTTCAAGAGTAATGTGGAGAGGCAGTTCAGGAGGAATTCTGTGACTGAAGCCTTCCTTATATGACAGAGACTTAACGGAAAGCAGGTTCAGGGTGCCTCACTGCTTCTCAGTATGCGAAGGAGCCAATCACCCTCAAGACATTCACAACACAATTTCAATGTGAGACAGCCAGCAATGTACACTTGCTTCAAAACTTCCTTCAAGGACTGAGGAGTTGAGAGAGAAATAGAGAATTATAGGCCAGTGCAGGTGCTGGGGACGGGGTATGTTCAGAAGTCAGTTTTCTAGACTGGATCCACTGATCTCTGCGCAGTGCTCTTAGACTCTGTGCTGTTTCGACGGCTCCAGGTACCCTGAATTATAATTATGTTTCAATATGAAAAGCGTGGCAGCAAGTTATGGTAGGGAGAGCCTCTCATAAACTGCAGGACCAGACGCTTGCCTTAGAGTAGCCAGCATTCACAGGCTTATAGGCCTGTAGGGATCTAATCGATTTTTATTCTAATCTCAGAGCTGGAAGGATGCCTAGGGACAATCTGAAGCTCCTGGTAAGCTGAAGAACGTAAAACAGCCGCTACTTGGAAAAGGCACTTCTAATGCGTATCTCAGCAGTGCATGTGGTTGTTCAAAACCTTGCACGATCCCTACAGTTCATCCACTTCCGGCTCCCTCAGAGCACACATGTGAGCCGCTCCAGCCCCCAAGCAGTGCAAATGCTGGCGTTACCCATTCACGGCTCGATTACAAAGATTCCAGCCGAGAAAGGAAACAACACAGACTACTAGGAACAACAGGGGAACCTCTTCTGTTTTACCTGGCAGTGTCTTGGAACCTGGTTTTACAACAAGGCCGCGAGCCCGAATGATTTCCACCTCCAATTGTCCCTTTTTGTCCATCATTCCCACCTGAATGTCACCTGGTGGGACACAGGGAAGAAAAACAGGAAGAAGGAGGAATGTTTGTGCCAAAGAACTTGGCTTCAGACATTTTCCGGATGTTTTCCTAAGTCGCCAGACACATTCCTAAGTCCCCAGATACATTCCTAAGTCTCCAGATACATTCCTAAGTCTCCAGATACATTCCTAAGTCTCCAGATACATTCATAAGTCTCCAGATACATTCATAAGTCCCCAGATACATTCATAAGTCTCCAGATACATTCATAAGTCTCCAGATATATCCATAAGTTCCCAGATAGATTCATAAGCCCCCAGATACATTCATAAGTTCCCAGATGTATTCATAAGTCCTCAGATGTATTCATAAGTTCTCAGATGTATTCATTCTTTAAGATTAAATGTTCTCAGCAGTGTGCTGCTTTAAAGATGAACAGAAATCACAAAAGAAAAAATTAATAGCGTTTACTATTAAAATCTGGGACCTTTTATTCTTACTGGTAATAATGTTAAAAATATCACGAAATTGAGGGAATGTGACTTTTCTGTAATCTAAAGGACAAACAATAAAGTCATGTGACATAAACTCTTACCCATCGCAGGGGTAGCCAGGGTCTGGCGTCCCACTAGCTGAGCAGGGCCCAGGCCATCGAGGAAATCGCTGAACTGGCTGTCAGAGGCCAGGCGGACGCCAGGGAAAATCAGGCTGGAGGCAAAGGGACATGTAGGATTAAATCCTCAACCGTCCCCCCTTTCAGGCAAGCTTGAGTTTCCTGCTGGCCTCATTAGTAAGGCAGGCTAAGGCATCACTAATATTCATCGGACTCCAACATCCCATGCCACCTCCCACAGCTCAGTCCATGTTATATTCTCCAGGCTCCGCGCCTGTCACAGGAAGTACCTGCTGCACTATGCAGGCTTTGGTTATGTGTCTTCTCTCACTTGGTCTGGGAGGCAAGAGAAACGATTTCTGTTGTGCATGCTCAGTATACACGGAGCACTTATCTATGGCATGCTTTGCCGAGTTTTATCCTCTTAGCTATACTAAGAGTTTATTATTTACCTTTTTACAGTTAAAAAAATTGGATCATTCCCATCATCATATAAATACGTTGCAATTCCATCATACAACAGGAAAACCAGCCCCTTCCCTGATTGCGTTCTCCTCCCCAGTCTATGTCAGCCTGTGACTACAGCAATCAGCGTCAGCCTATAACTACAGCAGTCAGCGTCAGCCTGTGACTATAGCAGTCAGTGTCAGCCTGTGACTACAGCAGTTAGCACCAGCTGTGACTACAGCAGTCAGCATCAGCCTGTGACTACAGCAGTCAGCGTCAGCCTGTGACTACAGTGTATTTCCTGCTGTCACTGTTCCATCCTTATTGAAGTGAACAGATCAGCAACACAATCAATCCTCCCTTCTTCCCTGAGAGACATTTTTGAGTCACTTCCTGAAGACTCTGGGGTTCCAGGCTCTCTCTCTTCTCTTCTGCCATCTGGCTTTAACCTCTGCAGTTCTGGTATTAAACACCCGAACTCCATCTCTGTACCTTATATCTTTTCTATGTGTCTGAGCCCTTGGAGGTCTCAGCGAACCTGAAGGCATCTGTTTCGGTGTTGCCTAGCTAAGAGCGTCTCTGGTTTAGCCTTCTTTTCTGGGCCACACATGTTCATCCCCACAGTACAGTTAGCTAACAGGATATCTACTAAGTGTCTGAAAGTTAACTTAACCTAAACTGACAAACTGAAATCTCCTGCCTCCTCTCCACACTAAATAAATAAAATGTAATAAAAATTAAAACAAAAAAGCTAAGGAATAAGAGGGATCATTTCTCCAGAGACGTCTCATATATATATATAAGATGGAGGATCCTGCAATCAGGTGTTACGGAATATTTAGTTAGCCTTCTCTCATTTATTTTGAGAATAAAATAACATCCTTAAAACTTATGGTACCCAATTTATTGTGTATTTTACTATTTTCTTATAAATTAAACATTTTTGATGAAGTCTATCTTGTCTTTTGGATGGGTAGACGTCATTCTGTCTCTTGTTCATCTGGAGCTCCAGCTTTTATAGTCTAGAATCTTATAAACAACAGATACCTGACACCCTTAGTGACCCCCCTTCATGTAAGGAGCATAATGTAATTTGCCAAAAAAATATAGAGTCCCAGAACCCAAGATGAGAGCCTTGGTCTCCTCATGCTATTTTGGTTCCTGTGACTCCTAAGCCCACTGTCTTAACTTCTGATTTGATTCTCTCGTATGGCTCATATGGAACTCACAGCATACTGTCTGAAACACTAGAAGGTAATCTTGGTTGAATGAACTTATGAGTATTCATGTTATTTCTCCAATAAAATGGTAAACATCTGAGGTGGAAGCCCTGTACCCCTGGCAGCTCCACAGTAGGCTGTAAGCTTGTGTGTGCAGCAGACATCCCATAGAGCACAGCTCAGAGCACATTTGTCTTTTGCGTTTCTTCAGTCCCTTGTATGGAGCGCGCCACATGCCTGCGTCTGAGCTGCTGCCACACTCCTCTCCCGCTCAGCTCGGCTCCTCCTCTGCACTTCCTTGATGATTAGCAAATCTGTTTGTTTCCCTTCACCTCAAATCTCAAAAATCCAACCTGTTTCTACATCTCTATTTAAAAATTTCAGGAATATGTACCTCTCCTTTATTTATATAATTACGTTGGACAAAATATCATTAGGTTATGTAATTAATGGTAGCCAAATTTTCCTATGGTTTCAACTCTGAATTGGCTACACGGAAACCTTTCATGGTGATGACAGAGGGAGGCCCTGAGCCTCACTTTCCCTCCTGATGTCCTCTGTACCTCAAATAAAGGTCAGAAGTCACTAAATACAGCTGTTCTGGAGACAGGGCCACCCCATGTTTATGAACCTTTCCAAGAATTTTATGTTAGTGGATTCAAAGAAAAGCAACATAGAAAAAGGCTCACCAACTTTTTGTTGCTATTTTCTTTTGATTATTGTTTCACATACTTAAGATAAATTATATATCTTTCAATGCATAAGTTTTTCAATAGCATCTCTTCAACACATCAAAGATTTTTTACATTAAAATTATTTAAAAATTATTAAATTTTATGTGTCTGGGTGTTTTCATATACGGCTATGCACCATGTGCATGCAGTGCCTGAGGTGGCCAGAAGAGGGCGTCTGATCTAGCACTGCAGTTACAGTTGAGAGCCTGTTTGTGGGTACTGGGATCAAACCCATCCTTAGGGTTTTAGAAATACTGGGAATATTTCTAGCCTCTGTGCCACCTCTCCAGGCCCAACACTGGAGACTTTAAAAACTAATATTGCCTACATGGTTTGACATTTTGCTCACTATTTCAAAGATTTCAGTTCCTGTTTTAAGCTTGGACAAACCATTCTATACAGGTAATATTGAGAGTCACATCGTAGCATCTTGTCCTACAAGTAAAGCGCTTTACCTCCCCCAAGCTATTTCATTCAAAATAAAAAGCCAGATAGGTAAACTGATCAGTGGGCTGAGACAAGCTCTCGGGGAGAGCCGGGGAAGGCGGAAGTGGGCTGCCAACAGTGTGAGCTAGCTCTCCTGCGCGCGGGGCACAGCGCGGCCTCACTCACTTTCCTTCAGAGCTGTAGCTGTTCATGCTGCCATCCGTGGACTCCCGGCTGGCCTGCCGGGTCATCCAGTTCCTCATCTCCACCGCCAGGCCGGTTTCCGTGCTTCTCTGGACAGTGCTCCGGAGCTTTTTACCCCCTGCTTCTGCAGAGACAGAAACCCGAAGCCATCAGAATTTTGCCATCGCTTCCCGGCTACAGAACTGGCTGGCCAGCACCCGGAGCCGGCAAATGAGAAGAGCTGTGCATAGCGTCTTAAGAGACACGGTGAAAGTATTTTAGATCCTTCAAGGTGGTGTCTCCCTGGGTGCGCAGCACAAGGTACCATTGTTTATTTCCACTTAAAACATTGTTCAAATCATTAGCATGAGAAACAGAATGATTCAAACTGAGGATAATAAAATAAGCTTTGTTTTCATTGTAATATTTAAATTACCATATCAATTTATGCCTCTTCATTTTTTTATTGTCATTTTTAAATGCCAAATTAATTTATGCTTACCTTTCCCCCATTTCTTTTGTCTCAGTGAAAGAAATAGGCCTTCATGTAATACAAAGAACCAGATGGTGAGGGTTACTCAATTTTTAGCTTTAACTTCTATACAAAGTTTAGGGTGCCAGCTATGAAAAGGCAAAGGAAGCTATACAAAAAGAATAGCCCTATTTGAAGGCAGTTTTGATTCTGCTGGTAACTTCCAGAAAGATTGTGTAATATAAAATTCCTGACGCATCCTGTGAAGGACCTTTTTGTCCTTGGACAGTCATCTGGTGGTATTTTCTCCCAGAATGCCACAGGAGGACCAGCACCAAGGAAAGGAGAGCAGCGCCAGCTTGGCTGTGAGCCAAATGTGCTACCTGGGAAGATCAGAACTCCAGAGAGGGAGGAGGATTCAGATGGGCTTGACAAACGGGCCTACTGGGGCTCCAGGAAAAGAAACGGTATGTCTTGGGCAAGAGAGACTACACAGACAGAAGAGCAAAGCCAGGCGTGGTCATGTGACCATGGCTCAAGCACGTGACGTGAGTAGACACGAAACAGCCAAAACCGTGAAGAGCCTGGACTGCTGGGGACGGAGCTGGGACACTAGCAATTCATTTGCTCTTTGGCAGGCCTCTTTGGTTCACGCTGCTGCAGGAGAAGAACAGCCATGAGACATGCTCTTGCAGCGGCTGGTGTTAGTAACTTCTCTTAAATGCTGTGCTGCTGCGGGCGTGAGAAGACTTCTGACAGTTGCTTCACTCCGAAACAGTGCTCTCGGTGTCACCCGTTTCTCATTTCCAGCTTTGATCCACATTAAAGCACTTCAGAGTAGACACAAAACACACATTGTGACGATCTCTAGCGAGTCAAAAGATGCTACTTTAGATGTGCAGTAAACAAGGCGTTCTGAGAAAGGACAAGGAAACAGAAGGCTTCCTCAAAGAAAGCTCTTCATCAGAGGGACTCTGGTGACACTGGCGTGGAGACTCTGCGCCACCTTCTTTATCTGCTCCACTTTGAAACACTTGCATAGAGACAAAGTTGAAAATAATAATTGGTGGCCTCCTGTGGAACAGTGACTGAGCTAGTATGGCTCGCCACTGAAGGCTACCATTAAAAGTCAGACCATGAGAAAAGATGTATGAGCCAAGTGATCAGTCCACAAACTAGTTCTGTTATGGGAATAAAAAGATGGTCTGTCCTGATAGACAGAGCCAGCACCATCTTAATCAAGTCATTGAATTCGGCAGTATATGGAAACCTATTAAGTTATTCTGGACAAAAATGTACCAACTGTTTCTAATCAAGTCTTCTGGTTCTCAAAAAACATAGAAGGTAAAGTCACAAGACAAATAGCACACACACACACACACACTCAAAGCATCCAGACAAAACCCAGATATGAGATATTGTTCAAGAGAACTGGTCTAGGTTCCTAAGATACTAACACTGTGGAAACAAGGCAATCTAGATCAAAAGACAGCAGGAGATGTGAGCCAGTGAGTGACTTTGGCTGAATGGATTTTTGCCTTGTTTGTAAAACCAAACTGAAATAAGAAGTCTTTTAAACAAAATAATTTTGTGAAATGTCAAAATCATTAAAAGGCAATTTTAAGACAGGTAGGGAAAATCTGAATATAGATTGGATATTAATTAGAGGAGAGGCTGCTAAACTTTTAAGTGGATTATAGTAAGTATTATAATGAGTTTCCTGACTATTACATATATGTCAAATATTTGGATGCAAAATCTTTTATTATCAACATTTTACTTTCAAATGGTATAGGAAAAACAAATATACATATGAGTAAGAAGAATATTTTTAAAAAGATGAGGTGGCAGAGGTAACTGTAGTATTCATCAACCTAACATTAATGATCTTTTTGCCTGGGATGTCTGGACACATTTTAGGGGCATCTGGGATGTCTGGACCTGCTTTAGGGGCATCTGGGATGTTTAGACATGCTTCAGGGGCATCTGTATGGGGATCTAGATATATGCAAGGAAAGAGCACAGAGATGAACCCAGGGTGTGTAAGGATGAAGGAGCCTAGGTTCCTAAAATCTCAGGATGCAGAACAGCAATTCTGAAACCTATTGTTTTCTATTTAATCTGACACGATTGCGCAAAAGCGACTTGAAATATGCTGTTAGTGGGTGCTGAGTAGCAGACACCACTTGGCTAAGAACAACAACATTTAAAGAAGAGCTCACAACCCTTCTGTCCACAACTGCTTTACTGACATAGCCTCCTCCTAAGTTTGAAAATCCCTGCTTTTACAGACAAAGCATCTAAGGGCCCAGAAGATCACAAAGAGTTCCTGAAGACACACAGCAAGCGACAGGATTAGAACGTGTACTCAGTTGCCCTATTCCATGGTCTCTGCATTTATTTACTTGTTAGATTAGAACTAACTGCCTCGGAATCTGTACATCTGACTGAGAGATGGTGCAAAGAAAACCCTTTAGAAGTAGCCTGGTGGCCCGGGAAGAAGCAGGGCCTCAAACCAGCTAGGCCCTGGTGTCAAATCGCTTCTCTCCTCTTAACTAACTGCATGGCACTGTGCAAGTAACCCCTACGTTCTTAGATTGTGAGATAATAAGAGATAACCGGCAGGACACTGGAGAAGGTTAATGAAAACATCTACAGTGCTTGGAAACACAGACCGTCTTCAACCAGGGCAGAGGAGAAGCTAACACCTTCTGACGGGTCTTGGCCACTACCCAGCTAGTTGTGCGGCCTCTCTAAGTCACAGCCCCGCTCTGATTCCGGGGCAGGCTGTCTATGAAAAGGACAGGGAGAGGAGAGCAGATGACCCCTGGCAGCTTTCTTCCTTAAGTCTGTGAGTTTGTCTCACTGGTGTACAAATGGCCATGACTAACAACAGTCCTATGCTGAGGGAGTAGGCTACTGCCGAAGAATCCCAAGTTCCTATCAGTAGCCCTGAAAAATTTGTCATTTTATTTATTCCACTATCTGAAATATTTATAGACTTACTTAGAAATTTCGAGCACCATAAAAATCTTTATGTCACTTTCACAATAAAGGCAATTTAACTTGAATATAATGCGTTATGGCTATTCATGTGTAATGATGTCATGTTGCTATGCAACCTAAAAACTACATCCATGTAATAGGAAGGTCTGTGAGAGTGAGTGCAAGAGAGGCAGGCAGAATTCTATGCCGGTCCTGATGACCATGTTACATTCCACTGCAAAAGTGATTCTGCTAATTAACTAAGGCAACTAAATTAGTTATTTAAAGGTAGGGAGGTTACCTGAGTGGGCCAGCCTTGCCATTCCAGGCCTTTGAAAGCAGAATGATGTCTCTGGCTGGTTTCAGGAGGGAATGAGAGAAAGCAGAATCACAAGAAAGATGCTTTGTACGTTTGCTGGCTTGAAGATGGAGAGACACTTGTCAAGGACATTGTGGCCCCTGGAAGCCACTGAGAGGGAGCTCCACCTGACAAGCTGCAGGAAAACCTGAGTGGAGTCTGCCACCTGCAATAAACTAGACTCTGCCACCAACACGAGTGCCTGGGGAACAGGGCCGCTGGCTAGAGGTCAGCTGACGTTTTGGTTTCTGTGGTGTTACACATCACCATCCTGTGCTAGGTTTAAGATCTAATGAGTAGGTGTTGGTTTCGGATGCTGAATGTCACAGCATCAGAAGACATGAACAGCAGATTCCTTCCTTAGACATAGTTTTAATGAAACATACACAAAACTATTTTATCATGGTTGTGGGGGTAGACCAGCCCAAACTGTTTCAAATTTAGGTATGCTTTTAAAAATGTGAGTACCTGTGCACATGCATATATACATATATGCACAGTACATTAAAGAACACACAATCAGTGAGCCCACATCTCAAGCCCAGGTTGGGCTGTGGTTGAGCCCTTAAGTCACTCCCTTGGGTGTGAGGTATTTTAAGCATTTGGGGAAGATGCCTGCAAGTCAAAATCAAGTTCTTCCATTGCGAACACCAGAGGCAGAAGGCAGCACACGGGGGTGGGGGGGGGGTGGGGGGAGTCTGTACCATTTCACTCTGCTTAACCTCATGACTCATTTACCTGGCATTTTCTGTTTTCAAAGAAAATCACTTGATCAAAAACTCCAAATGCCTGATATTTCCCCCAATATCAGGAAACTATTCAAGGGGCTTGACAACAGAAATGAAAATGTCCTCATTGCTATTGACTTGGGAGACTGTCTTATTATCTGCCTAAGACTAGGGTGACACTTGAAACCAAGCTCGGTTTCATGGCGGTGTCTTTTGAACCCTAGATACACGGAAGTCATCTGCTTTGCTCTCACCCAGGAGGGCTCGTCAGTGCAGTCAGAACTGTTCCGGCTTCATCAGTTACTTGCCCTCAGTAGGAAAAGCAGTTTTGGGGGCAGCTAAGACTAGAATAGTCTTTAACTCTTAGTGCGAACCACAGATCATGTGCTCTAGGTTAGTCAAACAGTATCAAATCCAGAATTACTATTTTTCAAAGTGAATATAATTTAGAGAAGTCATATGTTGCACAATAAAGAATTTTTAAATGCAATAAACAGGAAGTTCTAAAACAATGAACATATTTTGGAAGCAGTCTTGGGATCTGTGTATCTGCTTTTGTGTGTGTTCTCACTGTGGGGATGAGAAAGCCCGAAGCCCTCAGG